AAAAAAAAAAAAAAAAAAAGATACGTAAACTCACATCCAGTGAAATATAAGGTCAGGAGAAGGGGTACCCCTACTAGGACCCTTCTTGTATATGAAGAACCTTAATCATCACCATTTCTCTCTCTCTTTTACTTTTTTTTTTTCTATGTGTGACTGTCAACATTTGGATATATGTAAACAAAGTCCAGCTGTTTTTCAAGTTAAACAAAAACTTTATACACAAGTACAAATCTGTACAGTACCTTTAATAAGTCTTTCAAAGAAGTGTATCCCCCTCCCCAAGGTTGACGACCTGGTTGCTTTGTAGAGGGACATTTACTGAGAGGAATAAGGTTACTTTTTCCTTAGGTACTTTATTTCTACTCTGATCTTACTGTCTCAGTTCTTCTACCAGTATTAATACAATGGAAAGGGGAGTATCAAATGTTCCATGAAGTAAAGGCTTCAATCTTCCTGAGAGGATGCAGGGGCATAGAAATTATTTTTTCTGCTGACTAAAGTAAAAAGATTGAGATGATCTGTTAAAATTTAGAGAAACTCAAATATACCCTGTTTGTGAAGCTGAGACAGAAACACAAAGATTAACTATTAAATAATCTCAAAGCTCCTTTTAGCCAATGGGTGCTCATTTTCTCACTCACCAACTTTTCCTCTACTGATGAGAGAGAGACAGAGACAGACAGACATTTGTCTTCTCTGAGCTGTGCTTTATTTCAATGTTGAGTAACAAAGAAAAGGAGAGAAACATACCCCCTGAGTAATTTACCATCATGAGTATCCTAATACTTGGCAGTTGATTTTATAGGGGAAACAGAACAGGAAATTTTCTCTTCATTTTTTTTTATTTCAGGCTCCTTTATTCCACGAATATTTACAGAACATCAACTATAGGTAAAACATTGACATAATCATTGAAGATAATATTGGGACAAATATATCAATTTTATGAGGAAACAAAAACATTATCTACAAATCAATTATGAGATAAGTGTACTCATTACCACCACTCCTAGTAAAGTTGAAGATCCTAGCTAATACAATTATGATAACTTAAAAATCCCAATGGTTTGTAAAAAAAATACAAATTTCATCACTTCCGAGTTACCAAGTTACTTGCAAGTTACCAAAAACAATAGAAAAATTAAGCAATGTAGCTAACTTCAAAATAACTATACAAAATCAATTATATTCCTATGTAAAAAAGAATTACAAAATAATATTAGAAAAAGAAAGATAGCATTGTATCAGCAACCAAAATAGAAAGTACCTATCAATAAAGCTTTAACAAGAGCTGTGCAGTTTTTTTTGAATACATAATCGTTTACTACTTGTTTGTTACAGAATACACAAGACAAAATTCAAATAGCAAACGAATTATTTTTCCTTATGTTTTTACCAAAGTCTAAAAAAAAAAGATGACTAATATACGTAAATAAAAGTAAAAAATAATTTCTAAAAAAAAAAAAGCAGATCATGCCAAGTCTTATAGACAGTAGAAATAGAAATACTTCAAAATCATTCTACTTAGTCTGGATACTCCTGATAGTAAAGTTAGAAAAAATATTTTATTATAAAGGGAAAATTAGGCTCGGCGCCTATAGCTCAACCGGCTAAGGCACCAGCCATGTACACCTAAGGTGGCGGGTTCGAATCCCCAGCCCAGACCCGCCAAAAACAACAATGACGGCTGCAACCAAAAAATAGCTGGGCATTGTGGCGGGCGCCTGTGGTCCCAGCTACTTGGGAGGCGGAGGCAGGAGACTCGCTTGAGCCCAGGAGTTGGAGGTTGCTGTGAGCTGTAATGCCACGGCACTCTACCCAGGGGGACAGCTTGAGGCTCTGTCTCAAAAAAAAATAAATAAAGGGAAAATTACAGACCTATTTCACTGATGAATAAGGATGTAATATGGTAAACAACATATTGACATGTTGAATTAAAAATTGATGTTTAAGTAATGTATGTTGATCAAAATTAAATCCAGTTTGTGTGAGAATTAGTCATTTTTTTTGCCCATACCCCCTCGCTCCTTCTCTGTCTGATCTCCCCTTCCCCCATGCCCCACCATGTCATTAATTGTCATTACTTGTCTTCATATCAAAGTTGAATACATAGGATTCTTACTTCTCCATTCCTGTGATGCTTCACTAAGAATAATGTGTTCCACCTCCATCCAAGTTATTACAAATGCTGTAAAATCTTCATATTTTTTTTGATGGCTGAATAATGCTCCATGGTGTACATATACCACAGCTTACCAATCCATTCCTGGGTTGAAGGACATTTAGGCTGTTTCCACGTTTTAGCGATTGTAAATTGGGCTGCGATAAACAGCCTAGTACAAGTGTCTTTATAGTAAAAGGTTTTTTTTTCTTCTGGATAGATGCCCAATAGTGGGATTGCAAGATCAATTGGGAGGTCTAGGTTGAGTTCTTTAAGATTTCTCCATACTTCCTTCCAAAAAGGTTGTATTAGTTTACAGTCCCACCAGCAGTGCAAGAGCGTTCCTTTCTCTCCACATCCATGCCAGCATCTGAAATTTTGAGATTTTGTGATATAGGCCATTCTCCCTGGGGTTACATGATATCTCAAGGTGGTTTTAATTTGCATTTCTCTAATAATTAGAGATGAAGAGCATTTTTTCATATAGTTAGTAGCCACTTGCCTATTAGCTTTAGAGAAGATTCTGTTCATCCCTCTTCCCCATTGATGTATGGGGTTGTTGGTTTTTTTCTTGTAGATTAATTGAAGTTCTGCATAGATCCTGATTATTAGACTTTTGTCAGATTCAAAATACACAAATATCTTTTCCCATTGAGTAAGTTGTCTATTTGCTCTGGTTATTGTCTCCTTTGCTGTACAGAAACTTTTCAGTTTCATAAGATCCCATTTGTTTAGTATTGCTGTTGTCGCTATTGCCATGGTAGTCTTCCTCATAAAGTCTTTCCCCAGGCCCATATCTTCCAGTGTTTTTCCAATTCTTTCTTTGAGGATTTTTATTGTTTCATGCCTTAGATTTAAGTCCTTTATCCATCTTGAATCAATTTTTTTTTTTAGACGAAGCCTCAAGCTATCCCCCTGGGTAGAGTGCCATGGCATCACAGCTCACAGCAACCTCCAACTCCTGGGCTCAAGCGAGTCTCCTGCCTCAGCCTCCCAAGTAGCTGGGACCACAGGCGCCCGCCACAACGCCTGGCCATTTTTTGGTTGCAGCCATCATTGTTGTTTGGCGGGCCCGGGCTGGGGATTTGAACCTGCCACCTTAGGTGTATGTGGCTGGCGCCTTAGCTGCTTGAGCCACAGGCACCGAGCCTTGAATCAATTTTTGTGAGTGGAGAAAGGTGTGGGTCCAGTTGCAGTCTTTTACATGTAGATATCCAATTCTCCCAGCACCATTTATTTCCCCCAGTCATTGCTTTTATTTGGTTTATCGAAGATTAAGTGGCTGTAAGTTGTTGGTTTCATTTGCAGGTTTTCTGTTCGATTCCAAATATCTATGTCTCTTTTTGTGCCAGTACCATATTGTCTTGACCACTATGACCTTGTAATATAGCCTAAAATCTGGTAAAGGCTATTCATCAGCAAGATTGCGGCCAAGTAGCAGCTTCTGTGTAACCGGGCACAGTGAGAAGGGGGAGAGAAGATTCCAGGCATCTCTGGCCGGCGGATTTTGTCCAGAGGCTGTCCTCTAGTGACCCAGGAAGTCAGTGAGAGACTTTAGGACCCCAGGAGGAGGTCAGAAGCGGTGGAAAACCGGCAAGTAGTGGGTGCCAGTCTGTTGGGTCAGAGGCTGTCTGCAACTGTACCTATAGCGACAGCCAGACTACAAGTGGGAAGAGCCTTGCCTGGGGGCCGTTTTGATTTGTTTGGACTTGGGCACTCCATCGAACTGCTTTGGGAAATCTTGGGCCAGTGTGCTGATGACTTTGGGTACTGTCTGGTCCCCCGGACTGAGCTGCTGAGCTGGTAAGGAGCTAATGCCATTCAGCTGTGTGCTGCCCACACAGCTACTGTGAGGGAGCTGCTCCTACATGGTCCAGCGCAGGGCTCGGCCAGGAGTCCTTGGGCGAGTAATCTAGTGACTGAGCTGCCCAAAGGCAAGGACTGTGACGCTGGAGGAGTGCAGAGATCCAGGTGTTTGGCAGATTAACACCCTTGGCCCTCAGGGGCATTGAGGGAAACTGGATTTGGCATATTGGATAAGCAGGCAGCCACGTCAGGAGAGATCCCAGGGATAAATAAGTGCTTTCCTTGGAAAGCTTCTGCTTGGCCTAGGCCCACAGCTTGGAGGGTCTTTTTTTTTTTTTTTTTGAGACAGA